TGACACCTGGCAGGGCAGGGGTCTACTGGTCTGCTCCCTTCACACTTGTGGGAGCAGGCATATCTATGAAACCCAAGTCACTTTGGATGTTTGGTGCTCAGGGTGTGTGAGTGTGTGTGTGTGTGTGTGTGTGTGTGTGTGTGTGTGTCTATGACTGTGTGTGTCTGAGTCTGCATGTGTCTGTATGTGTGAGTGCATATATCTGTGTACCTGAGTGTGTCTCTGTGTGTGTGTGGGTGTGCAGGTGTGTGTGTCTGCATCTGTGTGCATGTGTCTGTGTATGTGTGAGTGCATATGTGTGTCTGGGTGCCTGTGCATTTGCATGTGTGCATGTGTGTGCATGTGTGTCGGTATGTTTATGACTGTGTGTTTCTGAGTGCATGTGCTTGTGTATTTGCATGTGTAGGTGTGTGTCTGCATGTGTGAGTACATTCACGTGTGTGTGTGCATGTGTATGTGAAACAGCAGGACCAAATGCCCCTTGGGGTCAATGTGCCTGCTGTACAGGTGACTGGCAGGGACAGAGCTGCCAGAGCCCTGCAGAGTCCCCACATACGTGTCATGCTCACCTCTGCTTCCAGGAGAAAAGAAGAAATACCTGCCCCCCACTTCCCGGAAGGATCCCAAATTTGAAGAATTGCAAAAGGTATGTAGGCTTCTCCTACCCTGAGCTTGCTGGAGGCAGCTTTTCATCTTCTCGAGGTGGGGACAGCAGGCCGTCTTGCGGTCCCTGACCTCTGACTGGTGGGGAGTGACCCTGCAGTTCCCTGGGATACTTACTGAATGGCTACATGAAGGAACATTTAATGAGCACTGACTGTATTCTTTTGTATACGTGATCCCAGCAAGCCTCACAGGGTTGAGAGGGATCTGTTGTCACCCGCATCCCAGGAAGGGGACAACAGTGCTTGGAGAGGTGACTGACCTGCGGGGGGGCACACGGCTGGCCGGCGACAGAGCTGGGGATTGACCCAGGCTGTGGGCCACAAAGCCTGTGCTGCTCCTTCGCTCGCTCGGCTGCCCACGGCAATGGACAGCTGGCAAAGTGGGCGGGAACAGGCGTTGTCACTCAGTTCACGCTTCTCTCCTTGGCTAAGACGAGCTGAGCACAGGCTCGGGGCTTCCGTCCTTCTCTGTCCTATTTCTCTAGTCTCCACATGGCCTTTCTATTGCCTCCTCCAGGCAGACCTCCTGACCTGCACCACTTCCCACCATCCAGAGGATTTGTGGCCCATTTTCCATCCCTTCCTTCCTCCCACCCATTCCTTACTCCTTC